GAGCCCCTCTACCCTATAAGCTCCCCTCCCACCCCAGACATTCCTCCTGGTCCTGAGCCCCCTCTTTCCTCTCTGAACCTCCCCTTCCCCCTTCACAGAAGCCTTTCCCTCTCAAAACCTCTCTCCTTCCTGGCATACCCACACCAACCACTGCCTCCACTCAGCCCTCGCTCCCCCAGTGACACTTCTCTCTTCCTTGCAGGGTACACACAGCAACTGGCTTTCAGGCAACCCAACAAGGCCTTTGCAGCCTTCCTGAATTTGAAGCCCAGCACCTGGTGAGCCTGCCGATCCTTGGCCTGCATCCTTTGAGCAGGGCCTGGGCCCAGACCTGGAGTGATCTAGGCTGGCCTCCCCCACACAGCCCTGTGCCTCTGGACCCCTCCATCTTCAGAGTCAAGGTGCCCACTAGTTGAGTGACCTACCGTCACTAAGCAGTGCCTATAAGCAACATTGGGTCCTGAGAGCTGGCCCGGGATACTGGGCACACCTGAGTAGGCCCTGCCCCACTCTGCTCCTTGCTTGGCTGGGATGGCAGTCTCTGGATCCCAGAGCCAATTGGCCCATGCTCTGTGCCCACCCCAGGTTGACAGCCTACGTGGTCAAGGTCTTCTCTCTGGCCACCAACCTCATCACCATTGACTCCGAAGTCATCTGTGGGGCAGTCAAGTGGTTGATCCTAAAGAAGCAGAGGCCTGATGGAGCCTTCCAGGAGGATTCACCCGTGATACACCAAGAAATGATTGTAAGAGGCCGCATTCAGGGCAGGCTGTGGGAGAGGAGTGCCTGAGTGCCCCCGCATGGACAGGAGACAGGCTCTGTCTGCCATTTGTCCAATTCCCAGTGTGGGATGGACAGAGAAATAAAGGAGCAACAAATGTCACTTCTCCTTTGCAAAAACCAGAGACCTCAGGGTCCAGTGCAAAATGAAAGTTCCCTAGCCCCCCATTGCTTTGGAAAAAAAAAAAAACCAACACCTGAGAACTCCTTAGAATTGTGGTTCTCAAACTCTGGTCTCCAGGCCAAAACCGCCAGCATCAGCTGCAAGTTTTAGAAATGGACCTTCTTGGGCTGGATCCACATGCCCGAATCAGAAACCTTGGGGGTGGGGCCTAGGAATCAGGGTTTTAATAAGCCCCCGACTCCAGGTAATGTTGACATGTGCTCAAGTGAGCAAACCACCGCTTCAGCCTGTGCTTTCGGGCTCCCAGCCTCACAGGCTTCCCTCTCCACACTCCATCTGTACTGCCTGGAGCCTTGCCCCTGGGCACAGGGCCTTTGCACATGCTGTTCCCACTGCCTGGCATGTTACCACTGCCCTCTGACAGTTGAGTCCTACTCACTCTTCAGATTGTGGCTCCGCCTGTCATCCTTGGGGACACCTTTCCAATGGCCCTGACCAAGACACACCCCCGCTATCCATTCCCACCGCCACATCCACTTCTACACAGCACTTGTCAGTTTGTAATGATAGATCTGTGATGAGCTGTTTGGCTCATGCCTGTCTGCCCTACGAGATAGGGAGCTCCATGAGGGCTGGAGCCATCTTACCCACACCACCAGCAACATTTATAGAATGAGTGAGTGAATGAATGAATAGTAGAGTATGGCCCTCCTGTGAGACACTGGGGAGAGACCCACACTTGCCCTGTCCCACTGATCCTGCGGGGGGGTGGGGGTTGGCATGAGGGGCACATGGGTGCCACCATGCTTACTTCCTGCTCCACACCCTAGGGTGGCTACAGGGATGCTGAGGACAAAAATATTTCCCTCACAGCCTTCGTTCTCATCGCACTGCAGGAGGCTAAAGATATTTGCGAAGGACAGGTCAATGTAAGTGTGCCCTGCCCTGCTCTCCTCTGCATCCCCACCCTTCTTCCCCTCCCCAAACCCCCACGCAGGTACAGTCATCGTGGAGGCTCTGTAATTGCAACATCTGCTTTGTCCTGGGGTTTTGAGAGTGGGTTGTTTGACCTTTAGCTTTCCAAGTGGGGAACTCCAGGATCCCAACTTCACCACCTGCTTCTCCTCCTCAGGACCCCAGAAAAGAGAGGAAGGAGAGGAAGGCTGTTATCATTAAGTCCAAGGGGAACCCAGGCCTTTCTGGTTCAAACTTAGGGATTTGAAAGAAATTATAGTTAGAAAAGAGACAGCTCTAGGGCTGTGGGGTCAGAGAGATCTAAATTTAGATCATAACTCTCAGGCACTTGCCCTTTCTGGACCTCAGTGTGTGCATCTGTAAAATAAGTATAAAATAAGTATAATAATTTTTGTATTTTTTAGGACTCTCTAAGTTGTTCTAGATGTAACACATGTATGAGCTACATTATGCAAAAACACAGGGTGGGGCAAAAGTAGGCTTACAGTTGAGTATGGGTAGCACAGAGTTTATTGCTGTCTTATTCTT